GACTGTGGCTCCTAGACCATCGCTCTAGGTATGGGGGTGTCCTGCTTCTCTAGTGTCCCCACTGCAAACATGGCCTTTCACAAAGCAGAGGCTCTGTAAAGGTCTTCGGAATACATGAGCCAGTGAGCAGGGGGCTCAATTAATTATCTGCTACTTCCTTAAAAAAACCCAAGCCAACCCAAATAAACAGACAATTTAGTTTTTGAAAATGACACACAAGAAGGACAGAAGCATGAATTCAATACGATCACTTTTAACATCTAATTCTTCCCCATCAGTATTACTGCTAAGTAAGCTCACGTTTCCAAAACAGTTCTAATTCCAATTCTATTGCATCCTGTTCAGGACCACAAAACACAATGGAAGAGTTTCCAATCTCTTTTACAAAACAACAAAACTCTTGTTCTTGAACTGGGTAAGTACAAACACACTGTGATCAGCATCATTCACAAAGCTAAGACACTGAAGTTTATTTAGCCTTCTGTGAGAACAATGAAAGCTTTAAAATGTTCTAAAGAAAACAGATGAATCTCCATGTCATCATAGAGAACAGGAGCCCAAAGATGCTACACATCGGTTTCCCCAACTGGCCCGGGCTCTCATTTCTGAGAAGGCTGACCACTCCCTCTTTAATGACAGAGGGAAGGATTAGACTGGCTGCTGCTCTGACTCAGGCTGCCGAGTCCTCCTCCCTCGCAGCCTCTGCAGACAACTATGGGAAGGCCCTCAAAACCCTTTGTCTGACCCTGAGCAGAAACACCATGACTTGCCACTTGCTGGTCTCCACATAAGCCCAGGGACCCCACAGGAACTCATAGTGGGCAGGGTGGCTGTCAGGCACCTGCTGGTACTCCAGGTACCCCTCCTGCACCCACACATGGGTCAGCAGCTCCCTGGGCTCCCCAAAGACACAGTGCTCACTCCCAAAACACAGCCCTATCCTGCTGAGTGCTCCCCAGACTGCCTCCTCAGGGGCCTGGTCTCCATTCCTCATGATCAAGATGAGGAAGCCAGCCTTGGGCAGGCCCTGCCCACCTCTCTACATTGCATTGCAGGTGAGGCCCAGGGTGGGGACCATGATGTAGATGTGCTCCATGGGGTCTACCTCCTTCACCTCCATGCCAAAGACCAGCTGCAGGCACTCTGAGGCTTGGCTGAAAACCACCGGGAAGTGCTCCTGGTTATCCCTGATGACCTTCTTCAGCATTTCTGCCTGGGAGGTCAGCTTCTTGGCTCGATACTTGAGGAGCAGGAACTTCATCAGGTTCCTGCCACCATCGCATTAAGAGCTTCCTGGGGCAAGGCCTCCACAAGGGTGGAGCAGGAGACTGTGGGGACAAGGCTGAGGGGATAAAGCCTCTCCTGCCTCAGCCCCCAAGAGCTGTGCCTCTACCGGGCCCTGGGCCTCGCCTGGGTCCTGAAGGTCTCCCTCGGGATTGCTCAGCTCACTCATCTCGACCAGGAGTGCAATGCCTTGGATGAAACCACAGACAGAAGTAAGGCAGGGGAACAGATGGGGACCACAGGCCTGGCTGAGGGAGAGAGGGGCTGTGAACGGCCTTGAGAACTGCACCCTGGGTGGTCTGACACAGGCCACTTACAGGTCTCCTTTTAAGGAGTACTCTCAGACCTCACAGGGGTGTGCCTCCAGGGCAGTCAGTACCCCTGGCTACCTGAAGGAAGAAGTGAGGTGGCTCCCCAGGGTGCAGTAAGCACAGCCTGAGATTTCCGGGGCTGACTAGGTGGGGGTATTAGGCCCTCGTGGGGTCCCCTCTGTTCTGGGATGGGGAGACCCTGGTGCACACTTAGGGCACACTCCTCACCTTGACTCCTGGTACTGCCTGGACCTCCTCTGCTCTCTGACCTTAGGATGTGGGCCTCAGACCTCTGCCTTCTCCTCCTGGTTCCTGGAGCTCCTGTGAGAGAAATGGAGGGGGCACCTTGAGGGTATCTCATGAATTTCTCAGCCAAGGCCGCTCACAGCCCCTCTCACCCTGAGACCGGTGGTCCCCATCTGTATCCCTGCCTCACTTCCGTGTCTTGTTCAACCCCAGGAATCATGCTTGTGGTCAAGATGAGTAAGCTGAGCAAGCCCGAGAAAGACCTTCAGGACCCAGGCGAGGCTCAGGACTGGGTGGAGGCGCAGCTCTTGGGGACTGAGCAGGGGTAGGCCCCATCTTACTTGGCCTCCCACCACCCAGCATCCTCCTCCTCCCCTGGGGAGGAGCTTGGCCCAGGAAGTTCTGAATGAGATGATTGCTAACCTGATGAAGTTCCTTCTCCTCAAGTATTGAGCCAAGAAGCTGACCTCCCAGGCAGAAATGCTGAAGAAAGTCATCAGGGATAACCAGGAGCACTACCCAGTGGTCTTCAGCCAAGTCTCAGAGTGCCTGCAGCTGGTCTTTGGCATGGAGGTGAAGGAGGTAGACGCCAGTGAGTACATCTACTTCATGGTCTCCACCCTGGGCCTCAGCTGTGATACGATGCTGAGCGGTGGATAGGGGCTGCCCAAAGCTGGGCTCCTGGTGCTGGTCCTCAGCTTGAATATGCAGAATGGAGACTGGGCCCCTGAGGAAGCATTCTGGGGAGCATTCAGCAGGTTAGGGCTATGTGTTGGGAGTGAGCACTGTGTCTTTGGGGAGCCCAGGGAGCTGCTGACCCATGTGTGGGTGCAGGAGGGGTACCTGGAGTACCAGCAGGTGCCTGACAGCCACCCTGCCCACTATGAGTTCCTGTGGGGTCCCTGGGCCTATGCAGAGACCAGCAAGTGGCAAGTCATGGCGTTTCTGCTCAGGGTCAACCAAAGGGCTTTGAGGGCCTTCCCACTCCCTTCTGCAGAGGCTGCAAGGAAGGAGGACTCGGCAACCTGAGCCAGAGCAGCAGCCAGTCTGATCCTTCCCTCTGTGACTGAAGAGGTATCACTCAGCTTCTCAGAAATGAGGGCCTGGCCAGTTTAGGGAACAAGTGTGTAGCGGTTTTGGGTTCCTGTTCTCTACAATGACATGGAGATTCATCTCTGTTTTCTTTAAAAAAAATTCAAACTTTAATTTTATAGAAAGGTAAATACACTTCAGTGTCTTAGCTTTGTGAATGATGTTGATCCCAGTGTGTTTATGGTTACCCAGTTCACGAGCAAGAGTTTTGCTGTTTTTTAAAAGTGATTGGGAACACTTCCATTGTGTTTTGCGGTCCTGAACAGGATGCAATGGAATAGGAATTAGAATTGTTTTGAAAATGCGAACTTATTTAGAAATAATATTGAATGGAGAAGAATTATATAATAAAAGTAATCATAGTGAATTCATGCTTCAGTTCTTGTCTGTCATTTGCAGTAACTAAATTATCTCTGTTTATTGAATTTTACTGGGTTATTAAAGAAAGTATCAGACAATCTGAGCCCCCTGCTCACTAGCTCATTTATTCCAAAGACCTTTATGGAGCCTCTGCTCCATGAAAGGCTGTGTTAGCAGTGGGGACACTAGGAGAAGCAGGACATCCCCACACTTAGAGTGATGATCTAGAAGCCACAGTCACATGAGGTTTATCTTGGGTGTGAGGAAAATCTCTGAAATGGATCATTGCTGTGAGGTGTCCTTTTGCTTCTTGGATAAACCCCAGGGAGTTCTCTTTCTGGGGCAGGCAGGAAGGGGTCCTGGCTCTTGTTGCATAACTGTTGACCACAGGGATGAAATAGGTGTTTTCTACCCACCATCTACTAGGAATCCTAGAGAAATATGAATCCTGCTCTTTTATATATGGCCCAGTATTCCCTGTGCTATCCCTCCTCTCTGCCCTGGGAAGCTGATTACCAAGTACATTGAAATGACAGTTTATTTGGTCATATAGTCTTTATTATTTTCACTTGTGAGCATGGTCTAGATTTCATTTGGATGAAATGAGTTGAAGAGAAGCTGCAAAAGTAGAAAGGACCTACTCTGTGACCAGAATCCTGGGATCTTGGAGTGAGCTCTGCCCAGCTGGGAAAGACACTGCTCCCCACCCCCAAACCCTCACAAACACCCAAATTGAATAATATATCCCCCGGGGGGAAAACACACAGAACAGCAATTTTGAGTGGTTTTCTATTTTGTTTCCTATTGAGCTGCCAATTCTCTGAGGTGTCTTAAAAAGAAAACAATTTCCAGAGGAGAGAAGGACAGAGTCTGAGATGCGAATAACACAAGAAATAAGTAGTAGCCAGTAAAGATGCAACATCCGCCAGCATCCCTGGGTTCAGGCAGGTTCAGAAGTATGGAGGCAGCAGAGACACAAGTTAAGGCTGTGCCTGGCATTAAAAGGTAGGAGCGACTTCCGGGCCTAAGGAGGTGGTGAGGTCACTGCAGTAGGGGTGTGTATGGGTGCAGGAGGCTGAAGGGGCAGCTCTCCATGCTGAGTGCCAGAGAACAACGGGAACAGGAGATGTGATTCTGGTCACATATATGGCAGCGGCCACATAGTCAGTGGACGCTTGGTAAAGGTGGAGAATGTCAAGACCCATATGACCTGCTCAGACTCTCCTCCCCAAAACAAAGGAGATTTTTAACTGCTGCTCTTTGTGGAGCATCTGCTAGGCAGTGTGGAATTGGAGAGATGTCAGGAGTCCAGTCACCTCTTGTCTTCCTCTCTCCCTGCACACATGGGGACACGACCCTGCCAGGCCTCTTCACTTAGGAAGGGTCATATGATGACCCAGGGCCAGTGAATTTTGAGCAGAAGCATTTTTGTCAACTACCATTTGTTTTGAAGGGACACGGGCACCTGGGGGTTAATCCTCAAGTCAGGACAACACACAGATACAGACCACTCCGAGTGTGGTTCCTCTTCCAGAGACTAAAACCCCTCACCTCTGACCCTTGAGAGAGGCTGCCCCATAGGGAATTGGCTGCAGGAATTCCACCCACCCCTATCAAAGACCCACAGCCTGCCCCCACCCTGCCCTGAGCTGCACTGTCGGCCCCCTTGGGGCTGTGCTCAGTCTCCATTAGGAGGGCAGCAGCCAGCTACCAAAGGCCCCTGTTGGGGTTGGGGGCATCCTCCTCACAGGGCCCAGCCCCGAGGCCCTCCACCCTTGCTGCCCACAGTGCCCCCTCTCCCCCGGAACCTGGCCTTGGGTTTTGTCCTGCCTGCCCCCCGACTGAGAGCAGCTTAGGCTCTGGTCCTGATGACCTCATGTGTGTATCTTTATCTGGAAGTCCCAGAGCAGCATCCCCTTCCACGGTGCTTCAGGTGGAGCCGGCAGGACTTGATGCAGCCTGTGGGCGAGTCTCCTGGTGGTGGGTCAGTAGTAATCATTGCCATGGAAGTGTAGGGCACATCTCTATGATCCCAGGTGTATCAAACCATTCCCTGTGGAATCCCACATGTTGAAGTAAACTCAGGGTCTTGTTAATGTGACTGTGAGGTCCTGTCTTTTGAGCCTGAGTGTAAGAAGTAGAGGGGTGTCTGGTCAGCCACCTGCGCAGCCAGCTAGGACTTTGGTGTCCCCATTCTGACTGTTTGAGCAGAGGACAGGCTCTAGCAGTTGGCAGGGTTGGTCCCTAGGACACTTTCAGGCAACAGAGGCCCCATAGGAAAAGAGCCAGGCAGGAGACGACTCTGGGACCCCAGGGGTGAAGGCTGCAAAGAGGGTCAGCCGCCCCAGAGAGTTGGAAGCAGCAAGCCCCTGGAGGTCCCAACAGACCTGCCCAGGGCTGCCCACTGGGGACTCCCGGCTGTCAGCGCTCCTGCACTGTCCTCGCTGCTCAGAAGCTGCTGGTCCCCTCACTCTCACCGTACAGCAGGGACCATGGGACTCTCCATCCAGAAAGAAAAGGACACAGTGAGAATGAGAGGAAGACATGCCATGCACTGAGGAGAACGTTCCTGAAGATTCCAGATCACACGCTGTCACATCACAGCCCAGAGTGTGTCCTGAGACTCAGAGTGGTTTCCGTGGACAACTTTGAAGTATTCTTCAATCAGTGGTTGACATACAGGCCTTGATGGTCTGGAATAAAACCTCTGAAATCCAGATGCCCCTGATGTAGTCACTGAGAACACAGGCAGAGTCGAGTAGACATTGCAAAAGGAAAAGAAACAAAACACTCTCTTGAAGGAACAAAGCAACAAGAAAAGCCTGCTGAACGTCTGTTGGTTCTATTTAAGAAAACTCCTTCTGAATGTTGTCTTTGCATTTCAGTGTTAATCTGCTGAATGTCTTTCCTCATTTCAGCAGGTTGTGGTCACTTAGAAAGTTGCAAAGCCTGTCTCTTTCTAAACAGTCTCTTGAAATGAGGCTTCTCACAGGTTCAGTTGAAACTATCCCACTTGGTGCAAGTGGGTGCTTTTTATCAGTTTTCCTTTTCACGGCAAGAAAGCTCGTAGAGACAGGGAGCCTGCTGTCACTGCAGCTCATTTCCCTGCAGGTTCGAACCCACAGCTAGGTTCCATCACCCTCTGCAGCTGCCTCCAGGGAGCTGACCCCTGCCTTCCAGCTCCATAGCATTAGTTATGCAAAATAAGTTGCTGGCAGATTTTGGCATTTCTTCACAAAAAAATATGAACACATTTTGACTGTTGTTTATCACAAATTAAACCCTTGTGGGACATTGAGGGCTTGCAAGATAGAATGCAATCCATCTGACTGGAAAACTGATACCTGGCTGGGCTACCTCCCAGGAGAGTCACAGCACCCTCACACCCCACACTGAGCCCCTGCAGATGTGTTTTGACCTTTCCCTTATGGGTCCACACAGCTCAGTTAAGAGCAGCTATGAGGGACACTAAGAGCATGAGAGGGTTCCCGCCTACAGAGCTCGTGTCTGCAGGAAGACACTTTGAATGGAAAGGTCCCTCCTGGAGTCAGAGCTGTACCACCCTGTGTGCAGGGCGGGGAGAAGCGGTAGGGATTGCCCAACTCTGTGCCTGGGATGTCGGTGGAACCAACGCTGGAATGAGATGCTGCCCCTGACCTCGGGGAAACTACAGACTCTGGAGGTTCCCCCTGACCAAAATACATGGATTCAAAACCTGCACACTACTCTAAAAGTCAGTTGGTCACCCTCTCCCTTCCCACCAGCAAAACCCCCAGCCGTGTGACAGACTAAGGCATCCAGACACCCAATCCCTTCACCCACAGGTGTGTGGCCAATAGGGCAGAGCCAGGACCAGAGTCTGTCTTTCATTCATGCCCATGAAGTCCAGGTGCCCATGACAGTGTGTTTGTCACCTCTTGTGCACTGGGGAAACTGATCTCGTTGCTCATCACTTAAAGAAAATCTCCTTTGCAGACCTGAGTTCAATGAGCCCCAGCGAAGCCCCAGACACAAGAGGATACTGCAGGCCTGCACTTTAGCTCCTCTTCCTAGAACCCCTGCAGGGTCAGATTTCTGGTGATTCACTGTGTGCAGCCTGGTGTGTCCTCTGAAACTAGTGTCCAAACTGCCTCATCTGAATATGTCAGACCACCCAGTGGACCCTGGCGACTGACCCATCCACTGTGGGCAAGAAGTCTTTCTGTGATGCCTGCTAAGTGCCAGACATGGGCTGAACACTGGGCACACAGATGTGAGCAAGGCAATGGCTGCCCTCAAGTAGCCAGCATCTTCCAAATTACCAGTTGGCCAAGGGGGTAAAGGAGCACAGAGGGGAACCCCTTGTCAAGCACCTCTGCTGGAGGTGGGCTGCCTGCACTCTTGGTTCTGATGACTGGCAACATCAGTGTACATGGTAGTGAGTTAATGATGGCTGTTAAGTTTCCAAGCTGAGCAACAAATAGGCTCAAATGACCAAAGGTTATCACTGAACATACCTGTGGGAAAAGGACATTTCTTTACTTTATGGGAGTAATAACACTCCAGGTGGCAGTCAGGACTGGCCAAAGTGGATGTGGATGATCTGCGATGGGGTCTCAACCTTCAGAAGCAAAGTTTGCCTGCCTGTAATTGGGAGAGCTCCGACATGACTTGAGTCTACACTCTTAACGAACTCCTGTCTATGCTGTGAACATGGGATCATGTTGTCCAGGGCTAAGAGGTAAAATCTGATCTGTTAACTGGAGAAAAGATCATCATTTGTGGAGCCTCAAACCTGGATGAAGTCAAGTGTCAATTGGTCAGTTGTGTCCGACTCTTTGTGACACTATGGACTGTAGCCCACCAGGCTCCCCTGTCCATGGAATTCTCCAGGCAAGAATACTGGAGTGAGTTGCCATGCCCTCCTCTAGGGGATCTTCCAAACCCAGGGATCGAACCCATGTTTCTTAAGTTCCTGCATAGCAGGTGAATTATTTACCACTAGCATCACTTGGGAAGACCCTATGTATGAGGCACATGGCATATTCTAGCCTTTTTGTTCATATCACTATTTGATTCCAGAACAACTCTTTAAGTGGAAGATGCCAACAACTAGCTAATAAAGGTAACCTGCAGAACTCCACTCAGCTAGCCAGTGTTGCGGCCAAGATGAACGCTAAGGTTCACTGCCCTTTATAACTAGGAAATATATGTATGTGAGCAGCCACATGGATGGACTGTGTCTGCTGTCAGTCCTGGCAATACCATAGGCAATTCTGTACCTCAGTTACTCATCTGTGAAATTGGTATATTGTACCTGCTTCACAGGGTTATTTTAAAGACAAAAGGAGTCACCACATGTAAAACACGTAGAACAATGCCTGGCATGGTGATCATGGTGTAACTATGGCATTGTTGCTATTCTTATTATTATTGTCAAACTGGTACTACCAAAGAGGGAATAGTCAGAGAAATCACCATAGAGAAGATGCTGGAACTGAGCCTTGCAGGCAATACAGAGGTGTAAAGGAGACGAGGTGGGCAGGGCATCGAGGGGGAGGAGGGGTGAGCAGGCACAAAGATGTGAAATAACACAGCTTCTCTTCTAAAGAACAAGAAGTTTGGGAGGTGTGTGTTGGGTGATAGATTGTCTGAACAGGTCTTTGATTTCGTGCCAAGGGTTTCAACTTTGTCATGTGGGGAATGGAGAGCGACTTGAGGGTATTAACCAGAAGAGGGCCAAGGTCAAAACTGTGTGTGGATCCTTGGGCGGAGGTGAGGAGGGCAGTGCTGAAAGTGTTACCATGCCAATGGGAGGTGGCGGGAGATGCTTCAGTAGGTGCGGTTGAGGAGACATGCTGAGGAATCAGATATGGCAGTTTGAGAGTTGAGCGTGGAATTACTTCCCTTTAAAATAAGTGGTCTGCTTGTGCTACATCCTTGAGTCCAAAAGGAAAAGCAGGGAACTCTGTGTCCCCAAAGTGTCAGGATCCAGAGGGGATGAGTTCCTGGTCACCCCGGTACCCCAGTCAGGTGGCAGCCCCACCTCAAAGATCCTGCACCAAGAACTGAGGCCTCGGTCCTTGGGATGCACACCCAACACTTGGCGTTCGGCGGGTCATTCCTGCTTACATTCAATGGACTGACCATGAGGGGTGAGGGGAAGTGACACAGACTGGTGGTCAGCAGGGGGCAGAAGCAGGCAGACCGAAGGGCACATTAGAGTCCCAGCATCCAGAGTCCTCCATTCTGAGTCACGATTTGATCAAGTTGAAAAAGACGGAAGACTTAAAGTATAGCATGTCCTCATTGGGATTATAATAAAAGTCTCATTTCTTTGCATTCTGTAATGTGTACATCTAAGTAAATAACCTTCTCAGGAAGCTGCACAGCTTGTTCTGATGACAGGACATTGCTCAGAAGAATTTAGGATATTCCTTGCAGTATGACCTTCTTGGACCAGGCTCCCAGGTAATCTGTAGTTCTTCCCTTAATAATAGACTTGATTGTTGACAGCTATTGTAGTCACCAAACATACCATAACTTTGTTACAAAATTTAGCTCTAAGTGATCTTTTGCACTTTTTAAAATTCAAGGCTAGCATCTAAAAAAGGTAATTGGCAACTTTGAGGTTATTCAAGAGAACAGGCAACAGCCTCTGAACCTCACAATTTCCCAAGGCATACATCCTGTCTATGAATACTTTGTCCTTCATTTATTCAGCAAATATCCATTGACCACTTACTGTGAATAAGACACTGTACATTTTCCTTTATGGAATACAGAGTTGTATAAAATGGGTTCCTAAGCTCCACATATAGTTGGAAAGATAAGACATGAGTGTATCAGTAGAACTCCAATCAGAACTTAGTCACGTTAGTTAAAATTCACCACAGAACTA